GAAGAGAGAAACAAGAGAAAAGAGAAGAGAGAAACAAGAGAAAAGAGAAGAGAGAACACAAGAAGAAAAGAGAGAAGAGAGAAATCAAGAGAGAAAGAGAAGAGAAGAGAGAAACAAGAGAAAAAGAGAAGAGAGAGAGAGAGGAGAGAAAAGAGAAGAGAGAGAGAGAGAAAAAAATCGTTAAAAAGTATTCGGCAAAAATAGAATTGGTAAGGTCTGTACAGATCTATAGAAATATAAAAAACCGAAAGTTCATTCACTATAACGCGACGATTATACGAAGCCTTAATCCGATCATAAAAAGGATCAAATCGCGTCACAGAATCAATCCCCTTAACTAGGCGATCGGAAACCACGAGTGAGAGAAAAAAAACAAAAGAACAACGACCAAAACAAAAATAACACCGAGATATAAACCAAACAACAAAAAATAAACAAAAGGAAGCCAAAATAAACCCACAGAGAAGAAGAGAAGAGAGAGAAAGGAGAGAAAAAGAAGAAGAGAAACGAGAAAAGAGAAGAGAAGAGAGAGAAACAGGAGAAAAAGAGAAGAGAAAAAGGAAAAAAAAGAGGGCGGGAAACAAGAGAAAAAGAGAAGAAAAAAAGAGAGAAAACAAAAGAAAGAGAACGGGAAAGAAAAAGAAATAAGAGAAACAAGAGAGAGTCGAGAAGAGAGCAAGAGAAAAGAGAAGAGAAGAGAAGAAAGAGAGAGAAAGAGAAGAGAAGAAGAGAGAAGAGACAAGAGAAAACAAGAGAATTGAGAAAAGAGAAAAGAGAGAGAAAAAGAAGAAAAGAGAAGAGAAGAGAGAGAAAAAGAGAAGAGAAGAGAAGAGAGAGAAGAGAGAAAGATACAAAAGCGAGGGGCCATTTTCCCCTCCGCGCGAGGTCCCCGTCCCACCTGGCACCGAAAGGGGGATCGAGGTGAACGTTCTATAAATTCTTTTTTACCTTGCCATCAGATCCCGCTTGCCAGATCCCCTTTGCTGTGAGATCTGCTTGACGTATGTTCTGACTTTCATGGCGGGGGAGAGGGGGTGGGGTGGTGGTGGTGTGGTGGTGGTGGGTAGTGGGTGGTGATGGTGTGTTGTTGGTGGGGGGCGTGGTGGTGATGGTGGGTGGGGTGGGGGGGGCTGGTGGTGATGGTGGGTTGTCAGGGGAGGGGGCGTGGTTGTGGCGTTGGGAAGGGGAAGGGGGGGAATGTTGGTGATGATGTGGGGGGGGGGGTTATAGTGGTGGTGGTGATGGGTGGGTGGTGGGTGGCTGGTGGTGGTGATGGGGTGGGTGGTGGCTGGTTAGTGGTGATGGGGGGGATAGTGGTGGTGATGGGGTGGCTGGTAGTGGTGAAGGGATGGGGGGTATGGTGGTGGTGAATAGTGGTGAAGAGGGTATGTGGTGGTGGTGGTACTGGGTGGTGATGGTGAATGATGGTGATGATATGATACTGGCGATGGTGATGATGTCGTGGGTTGCGATGGTGTGGTGATAATGATGATGATGATGACGGCGATGAAGACGACAGCCATGACGATGATAATGATATTAGCGACAATAACAAAGACAATAATGATGATTAGACCATGATAAACGACGACGATGGTGACGATTTTAAATCATAAACCTACCACAAACAAACAATAAATAGAACAAACCCAAGTGAAAAACAAACAAACAATAGAATAAACCCTAGTGAAGACAAACAAACAAACATGAAATAAACCCTAGTCCAAAAAAAAAGAAAAAAAGAAAAGAAAGAAAGAAGAAAGAAAGAAAGAAAGAAAAGAAAGAAGAAAGAAAGAAAGAAAGAAAGAAAAAAAGAAGAAAAAAAAAGAAAGAAAGAAAGAAAGAAAGAAAGAAAGAACGAAGAAAAAAGAAAAGAAAAAAAGAAAGAAAGAATGAAAAAAAGAAAGAAGAAGAAAGAAAGAAAAGAAAAGAAAGAAGAAAGAACGAAAGAAAAAAAGAAAAGAAAAGAAAAGAAAAAAAAAAGAAAAAAAAAAACACTACCCACTCCCATCCGAAACCTCCCCTCGCTCCAACAGCTTCTCCAACTCCCAACTCCACTCCCACGCCACGACTTCACTCCCACGCCACACTCCCAGCACCATCACATGTGTCCGCCTCTCGCCCTGGCCGCTCGACGCAATTTACCAATTTTGTGCGTTTAAGCGAAGGCATTTCGTAGTTCTAGGAGTGTGTTGTATGAAAGCAGTAGAAGAGAAATGTATAAATTTTGTATAATATATATATAGTGTGTATATATATATATATATATATATATATATATATATATATATATATATATATATATATACACACACACACACGTATACATATTTGTGTGTGTGTGTTTGTTTGTGTGCGGTGTGTTTGTGTGTATGTGTATGTGTGCATATATATATGTGTCTATATATAGTGTATATGTACACTATATAATAAAGCTTATTTCATCCTCGATCCTATTATTCTTTAACGAACACCGAGGAAAACAACGCATCGAAAACAA